CATTAGGAATTTAATCATATCATGTAAGTTACTCAACAAAGAAAAACAGAGGAGACTAAAACTACAAAAATACATGTACTTGCACTACAACAAAAAACAGAAATGGCGACCAAAACATGAAATTTCGTCGCTGAAAGTGCATGAAATGGCGACTAAATTGGAATTTGTCGCCGAAAAGCAGGTTTTTAGCGACTAAAAGGGTTTAGTCGCCGAACAGAATGTTTTTAGCGACTAAAAGGAAGTTTTGCCGCCTAATATAGGGTTTTCAGCGACTAAAGTTTGTTTAGTAGCCAAAAGTCACGGTTTTTAGCAACTAAAATAATTTAGTAGCGAAAAGGTATGGTTTTGGCGACTAAAAACAGGTTTAGTCGCTGATTATAGCAGTTTTGCCGACTAAAAACAATTTAGTCGCTGAAAGTGGGGGTTTGCCGACGAAAATCCATTTTAGTCGCCCAAAGTAGTGGTTTTGGCGACGAAATTTCTGTTTAGTCGCCAAAAGTGCTATTTTTAATTGAGAACTTGTTTTTTTAGCGACAAATAAATAATTAGTAGCCCAAAATAATACAATTACCGACTAAAAAATGGTTTTAGTCGCCAAAAGTCGCCTAATTTTTTTTTTTAGTAAATAATTTATTTTTGACAAAAATTATATTTATAAATATTATTTTGTATTAATTGCGGTTAATATAGTATATAAATAATATATATTGCATATATGATCATGTGATGGTGTACTGGCATAGTGGAGGGAGTGTTGTGCAAAGGGTTTGGCGTGTGCAAAGGGACGTCGCAAGTTCGAAACCTGTTGGGAGCAGCGGAGGCAAAAAAAAAAAATTCTGAAAATACTTTCAGCGACTAAAGTGAATGGTCGCCAAAGGTATAAATAATAAAATAAAAATGAACTATTGGCGACTAACAGTTTAGTCGGCAAAGGTATAATTTTCAATAAAGAAATTGACTATTGGCGACGAAATCTTTAGTCGCTGAAGACATATATATTGGCGACTAACAGTGTTTTAGTCGCCAAAGGCATTCGCGACCGTTTATTGGCGACAACACGGGCGACTAAACTTTTTAGTCGGGAAAAGTGAAATTTTGACATTTGGCAACTAAAATAGGACCTTTGGCGACTAAAAATTTAGTCGCCAAAGGTGTTTTTTCTTGTAGTGTTGTGTACACACATATATTTGTCATAACTTAAAGGTCGTGATTTTTGAACGTACATCTGGTGAAACTGCAAGAGATCAAGGGTTAACTAGTAAACAGTTGCAAACATCCCAAAAAATGTGACATGGGACAGAAGAAAATTATGTGTACCAGAAACAAACAGTTTGTTGTCGTTTGATAAATTGATAAGCTAAAACAGCAAATAAACTATCCTATTAGAAAATTCTTAAAATCCTAAAATTGGTATGTTCATCAAATTGGAGAGAAAAAAAACCATCAGCCATAGCCTCTGTGAGCCCGAATAGGAGGTTAGGGTTCAAATCTACAACCTAGAATTTCTATATCTCACTTTGAGACTTTCTTTGTAAATTAATTAGTATAAATTGTATATGATCTTTCATTATCATTGCATAGAAATTCTATATGGAGAGACAAAAGAGATTCTTGGCTTAGAGAAAATAATTGTATTTCCTCCCAATCAACTGGATTTCAAACTTAAACCCTAACCCTAACCCTAACTCTAACCCTAACCCTAACAAACACTACTACTACTATGCTTCGTATCACCATTAAACCGTCCTACCTCGGACCGGCCACCTGTTCAAACAATCTTTAAATCGTTACAGTCTAGAACGGTTTTCAAAGTATCCTTCCACCGAATCGGCACTCAAAAAAATAAGTACTGAACCGACTCAACTCAGTCTATAATCAAATTTATTAAAAAAAAAATTATTTCACCATTTGAGTCTTGCAATTTAATAACTGGAATCAACTCTGTGCCTCAGTCTCACATTAAATTTAAAAAATTTATCTTGCAATTTACTGGTAAGGAAAAGTTTACAAAAAATAACATATGATTTATTATGTCATTATGGATTAAATTATAATTCTTAATTATTATTTTTTAAATCTAAACTCATCTAGTAATTTCATATATTAAATAAAAAAATTTATTATGAGACGAAATGTCAATAACATTATAGTTAAGTGCATAATAACACTTTTATCCCAAAGCTTGATGGATGCAATTTTTCTTTTTCTTTTTTTTCTTTTTTTTTCCAAAAAAAACAAAAAAACAAAAACAAAAAAACTCAAGCCAGTTAATAAGAAAACTTAAAACATTTAGCCCAACCCAATTCTACAAAATAAAATATGAATCCAAAGTTCTTTAAAAAGATAAGTTGACCAAATCATCGGCCATATCACCCTTATTTTAAACCAGTATTATTTGATCAGTAATGTCATCGACACATCTCAAATCCCATCAGAAGTCAATGAATTTCACACCACACTATATACAAAACCCACAACATGTGGTGAATTACGGTATGCTAACTTTGGCCTTTTTGGCCACATTTAAAAAAATCAATTTATTAATTTACTTGAATCATATTCAGCTTATTTAGTTTTGATTTTCAAAAAACACTTTTTCAAAAAAATTTACTTTTTTTAAAATGTTTTCTTTGTTTTTAATGAATTTTTTTAATATTTGTCATAACTTAAAGGTCGTGATTTTTGAACGTACATCTGGTGAAACTGCAAGAGATCAAGGGTTAACTAGTAAACAGTTGCAAACATCCCAAAAAACGTGACATGGGACAGAAGAAAATTATGTGTACCAGAAACAAACTGTTTGTTGCCGTTTGATAAATTGATAAGCTAAAACAACAAATAAACTATCCTATTAGAAAATTCTTAAAATCCTAAAATTGTTATGTTCATCAAATTGGAGAGAAAAAAAACCATCGGCCATAGCCTCTGTGAGCCCGAATAGGAGGTTAGGGTTCAAATGTACGACCTAGAATTTCAATATCTCACTTTGAGACTTTCTTTGTAAATTAATTAGTATAAATTGTATATGATCTTTCATTATCATTGCATACAAATTCTATATGGAGAGACAAAAGAGATTCCTGGCGTAGAGAAAATAATTGTATTTCCTCCCAACCAACTGGATTTCAAACCCTAACCCTAACCCAAACAAACACTACTACTACTATGCTTCGTATCACCATTAAACCGTCCTACCTCGGATCGGCCAGCTGTTCAAACAATCTTTAAATCGTTACGGTCCAGAACGATTTTCAAAGTATCTTTCCACCGAATCGGCACTCAAAAAAACAAAAAAACTCAAGCCAGTTAATAAGAAAACTTAAAACATTTAGCCCAACCCAATTCTACAAAATAAAATATGAATCCAAAGTTCTTTAAAAAGATAAGTTGACCAAATCATCGGCCATATCACCCTTATTTTAAACCAGTATTATTTGATCAGTAATGTCACCGACACGTATCAAATCCCAACCGAAGTCAATGAATTTCACAGCACACTATATACAAAACCCACAACATGGGGTGAATTACAGTATGCTAACTTAGGCCTTTTTGGCCACATTTAAAAAAATGAATTTATTAATTTATTTGAATCATATTCAATTTATTTAGTTTTGATTTTCAAAAAATACTTTTTCAAAAACATTTACTTTTTTTAAAATATTTTTTTTTTGTTTTTAATGAATTTTTTTAATTTTTAAACACACCTAACATAAATTTTTTTTTGTTTTTAATGAATTTTTTTAATTTTTAAACACACCTAACATAAATACACTTAAAAAATATAAATTTGTGAAAAAAATCCACTAAATACCAAAAATATAAAAATAAAAAATAAAACTTAAAATTCAGCACATTTTTCATATTTTTGTGTATTTATTAATTTTTTAAAATATTTTTTCACAAATATTTTACTATTTAGTACGGTGCATCTAAAATAATAAAAAAAAATTCGTAAAATTTTAAAAATATTTACTAAAAACAAAAAAAAAACACGAAAAACAAAAAATTGAATTAAAAAAATTGAAACCAAGTACATTGATTATTTCTCTATTTTATTATATTTTTTTTCATAATAAACAAAAAAAGTCAACCTATATATCATATCCAAAATAACCTTAAGCCTAACTAAACAGTATGAAATGGACAATTCTAATAAAAAAAACTCTTACATATATGAGCTTTACGAGTACGGTTATGTAATATTTCATAATATTATGATTGATGGAGAATGTGAGACTTATAATTTTGTGTTGGGTGATTGAGAAAATGATGAATGATAATTAGTGAATGAGTATGAACATGTAATACTCCGAAAATACTCAATAATTTTCTAAGCTTCACATATTTTTTATTTTATTCCTTCCTATGGTTATGGTTTCCTCGTAGGTAAACAACATAGGACTATGGTATGATTTTCTTTCTATCTTTCCTTAGGTTCCATTTTTTTAGAAAGAAACCGATAATAGAAGATAAATATGATAGAAAGTGAAGTGAAGGAAAGGGGAAATATATATATATATATATATATATTCTTGCATGTATTTGAATCAATGGAAAATTTTGTAAGAAAATAATGGGAAAAAAATATAATCAGTGCATAATAAGGAGTTGTGGAAAGAAATATTGGCAAAAAGGAAAACAAAATAAACTTTGTCAAAATTCTTGATAAAAAATAAATTTCCTTATATATTATGCAAGAAATTGTTAGCCTAACTAACATACTAATTTAAAGTTTCCATTACCTTTTAAGACTCTCTATCTAAATAAATAAATAAAATTAAATTAAATTAAAAAAAAAATTCTTTTATTTTCTTTTGTTATCTATGTAAACTAAACTGAGCGGTAGAAATCATACCATATCAAACGTATTCCATATTAATTTTATTTTCTTTTATTCTACCCTTGCTCAAAGTATTGGTCTCTATAAATAAATAAAAACATAATGAAACGTTTATTCTTCTTGCCTCCATTGATCTCTTCACTCTTCTTCTTCCGCAATGCGAAACCACAACATGCTCTTCCCGCAGCACCACCGTCCATGCTCTCCCGCTGTCCAGTTCTTAGTCTTTCTCATCGTTGCAGTGATCGTCATTGCCGGTTTCATTGCCTTCATTTTCTATCTCATTAATCCTCACCCTCCAAATTTCACAATCAAGTCCGTGTCAGTCTCTCCTTTCTCAATCTCCAATGCTCAAATCACCGCAGCATGGCATATACTCTTCTCCCTTACAAATCCTAGTTCCAAAGCACGAATCACTTGCCAACATGTCAAGATTTTTGCATACTACAGAAAAACACTTCTTTCATCATCAACACTACCTTCTCTTCACTTTGCTGAGAATTTCCATGGTTCGTTCTCAGCGAACATATCTGCGTCATCTGTACTAATTGATAACAACGTTGCGAATGCCATTGTGATGGATTGGAAGCAAGGAGTAGTGCAGTTTAACTTTAAGGTGCGTGCAAGGATCGTGTTCGAATATTTTACATTGATGAAGAAGCGACGGAGGATAACAGTCACTTGTGAGAATGTGAAGATCATGTTCAATACAACGGGTGGTTCTATGTTGAATGGCTTGAAAAACTGCAAGATTGATCTGTAAGTTGGAGTGGTTTGATTTGTGATTTTTGTTTTTGGATCTAGCTCTGTTTTGGGTATTTGAAGGTTTGTTGATTGCTTTTTATTTTCTTTTGTTATCTATGTAAACTAAACTGAGCGGTAGAAATCATACCATATCAAACGTATTCCAATATGGTAGTAATTCTAATACCTAAAATTTATTCTACCCTTGCTCAAAGTATTGGTCTCTATAAATAAATAAAAACATAATGAAACGTTTATTCTACACTCTTCTTCTTCAGCAATGCGAAACCACAACATGCTCTTCCCGCAGCACCACCGTCCATGCTCTCCCGCTGTCCAGTTCTTAGTCTTTCTCATGGTTGCAGTGATCGTCATTGCCGGTTTCATTGCCTTCATTTTCTATCTCATTAATCCTCACCCTCCAAATTTCACAATCAAGTCCGTGTCAGTCTCTCCTTTCTCAATCTCCAATGCTCAAATCACCGCAGCATGGCATATACTCTTCTCCATTACAAATCCTAGTTCCAAAGCACGAATCACTTGCCAACATGTCAAGATTTTTGCATACTACAGAAAAACACTTCTTTCATCATCAACACTACCTTCTCTTCACTTTGCTGAGAATTTCCATGGTTCGTTCTCAGCGAACATTTCTGCGTCATCTGTACTAAATGATAACAACGTTGCGAATGCCATTGTGATGGATTGGAAGCAAGGAGTAGTGCAGTTTAACTTTAAGGTGCGTGCAAGGATCTTGTTCGATTATTTTACATTGATGAAGAAGAGACGGAGGATAACAGTCACTTGTGAGAATGTGAAGATCATGTTCAATACAACGGGTGGTTCTATGTTGAATGGCTTGAAAAACTGCAAGATTGACCTGTAAGTTGGAGTGGTTTGATTTGTGATTTTTGTTTTTGGATCTAGCTCTGTTTTGGGTATTTGAAGGTTTGTTGATTGCTGCAACTCCTTACTCGCAATACATAAAATGGATTTTTTTTTTTGGCCACTTGATATACAAACAGAATTTATATACACAATTTGCTTACAGCGACGTGTCATTTTATGATGCTTTCATTTACCATTAAATTTGTTGTCATAATTTCACAAATGCTACTATCAAATCAATTTTATTATGAATTTATACAAGTATATAATTTTTCTTATTTAAGGAATATTTAGTTCACAATATAAAATGTTTGAAATATATCCATTATACTGTGCATCCCATATCGCATTAAACTTAATTATATCATATATTTTAATTTTGAGGCACTTCCCTGATAAATCCTCTGGGATAATTCTTGAGTAATCTTCAAGCACTATAAATATCATATGATACTCCCAATTAATAATGTTGACCCAATTTTGTTGACCCATTTTATTAAGTAATTGAGACACATTAAACCAATGATGTATCATATTCTAGCCCTTCTTTTTGCTACTCAGTCAATGATATTGTGTTCAATTTGCAGAAAGTGAAGTTCTGCATTATGCACTGATGGGGTTGGTCTGAGATTTTGTCTGCTACTGATGGGAGGAAGTGTGCTGGTTCTTCAATCATTTTTCTGGATAAGCTGTCTTACTTGCTGATTTCTTGCACGGGTTTCTTGCTGCTACAGAGTTTTGTAGGATTGGAGTGCTTGCAGTGGCTGCAACTTGAGGATTGGTATTAGGTTCTAGTTTTTCCAGTTGTGTAGTTTTTGTGATTGCTTAGTCTTGGTGTTGGTTGCTCAGCAGTGGACTGCTTGCTGGTTTTCTTTGTTTTTGCTCTTTTTTCAAGCTCTTCTTTATTGATATAATTTATCATATTTCGTGTGTGTTTCATCAATAAAGTCTTCTTTTGCCAATCAAAAAAAATATACATATATTCCATATGAGTTGGTTGTTTTGTTAAAGAGTTTTCTGTAACTTTTTGTCCATATTGTTCCGCCATGGGTGAGATTGTGTCCCATGTCCCACGATATTCCCAGAAGTAGTAAGCATTGTTGTGACTCCTTCTTGATTCATCATTTACATGGACTTGACCATCTACCTACATAGTTGATCGGGTATTTGACTAAACACACTGTTCGAACAACTAACCATATGTCATGCTCATCCTATCGTGGTTGTGCAAAATTACCTCAAGCAAACAAAAAATTCCGCATAAAAGATTTTGCAAAAAAGTGGTCGATGAACTTGCTATCACACTAGATTCTGAATTCGTGATTCATAGCAAATCCAGCAGGTTAACTTTTGGGGCACAACAAAATTTAGAGAGGCATTTTGTCAAACAAGTTATGCACATATATTCATGAAACGAATAAGGAAGTTATTGGAGCTCTGAAACGTACTTCTCTAATCAAGTGAATGCCTCTAGATAAACTAAATCACAAAAGAAAAAAATGACTTTGTTGATTGAGACATTTTATCAAGAGACTGGATGATAATAAACACATAACGATGCTTACAGAAAAGTGAAAAAAAAAATCATTTACAGAAGAGAACTTACTTGTGAACAATGAATAAACCATATGTTAGTTGTAATTAAACCATCACATAACCTTGTTAGATCGGTTAATGGTTTTTAATTATGTAAAAAATATTGAAACTAAATCACAAACTTTTGTAACATTAACTAATTTTTTTTGAATATTTTGTTACGTTAATTTGTGGTAAATTTACGCATTTTGTAATATCTGCCTATGTGGTATGTATCTCTAAAGGGTGCATACCATAAGCTTTCCTATAAATTGAGTTAACTTTTGATAGTCATAAACTTAACCATTTTAAACCCAACTCAGTAATGTCATTGAGTGAATTTACAATTTAAAATTAGGGATACTTTTTAATAAATCATTTTTCACCTGCTTATGTTTTATTTAGTCCACATTATTTTCTTATATTCCAATGAGTCCTATGAGTGACATAGTTACCAAAATACTCCTGATAATATTCACATTTACAGTGTGAATGTTCCGTGATGTGAATGTTCACACCGTCAATGTGAATATTCACATTGTAAAATATGAATGTTCACATCACTAAATTGCTAACCGTTCAAAAAATATTTGTAATGGTAGAAATGTCCATAAAATACTTTAAATATGAGAATTAGGATTTGGTAGATCAAATGTTTAAATAATAAGACTCATTGAAATATAAGAATATCTTATGGACTAATTGGGATACAAACATTTTAAAAATGATTTTCTAATAAATCTCCCTTAAAATTATGTCTTTCTAAAATTCCTTGAAAAAATGATAAAAGGTCAATCAAAACAACCCTCAATATGTTTGGTTTAATTTTAGAAATTATTTTTAAATTTTGTTCTCATATATTTTTAGTAAATTTTTTTTTTCATATTTTAATCAAAATGACACTTAAAAAGTAAAATATTTATAAATAAATTTAAAATAATTACTTTAGGTTGACTTTTGCATTTTTGTTTCTTAAATAAATGTTAGTAACTCATAATTTTAAATTTTTAAATTCGCACTTAATAATATAACAATATAATTGGATTTTAAACGGTTGAGTTTTTGACCACCAAAAGTTTGACAAGGAATTTGTCATTTAAATCTTATGAATAAGAATTTAATATTCTTAAATTTTTACAAACTTTTTAGTTAACCTTTTATTATCTGTTAAAGAATTTTAAAAACTCATAATTTTAAATTTTAAATTCACTCGATGACAGCAACAGGTTGAGTTTTAAATAGTTATGTCTATAATAATTAAAAGTAGATATGCAGTTCATGTTGCCATTGGGGCTGTTTGATATAGATTGTGAGAGGTGATTGTAACTTATTTTAACACTACAAGAAAATGCAGAAATGGTAACTAAAAAAATTATTTTAGTTTGGTGGTGAAGGAGTGCTTTTAACTTGGGAGACTTACGTTTAAGTTTTAATAAATGGACTTGTTGTCCAATAGGTCCTATGATAATTAATGACGTTTTTTATCAAATACTATAAAAAAAAAAGTCAATAATTGTTAATTTTCAATGACAATTTAAAAATTATCACAAAAATGTCACTACTTATAAATTTTAGCGATAGTTTAAAAAATTGTCACAAAAAAGTCAATAATTTTCAACTTTCAACGGCAGTTTGAAAATTTTGTCATAGAAAAATATCACTAATTGTAAGTTTTAGCAATAATTTATAAAAAAACGTGATAAAAAAGTCAGTAATTCTCAATTATTACTACCATATGCAAAAAAATCATTACAAAAAATTATTTTTAGCGACGATTTTATTAAAATTTATTGTCAATAGAACTTTATGAGAATTAAGTCAAACTATCTGAACCTAATCGATATGTTTGGTTCCATTTTTTTGAATTATTTTGTCAAAAAGTGATTTGAAAACTCTACTTTGAAAAATGATTTTTGTTTGGTCTTCAAAAAAATGCAGTATTGCAAATTCAAGTTTCTCTTCAATTTAAGGAGAGAGACAAGTTAATAAAAATAAATAATAAAAAAATTATCGCATTAAAAAATGGATCTAGATTGTCTCATGTTGAGATCAAGACTGGACGCGTCCAGTCCGGCCCATGGGACCTTTTTGGGTCCCATTTCGATAATCTGAACCGTTTAATGTGTAGAACTTGTTGAATACTATATCCCTATAAAAAATCACGCCGATTGGATATTGATAGCTATTTGATTGGATCAGACTCCAGTATCTCAAGCTGGGCATGTGTCTCAATATTTCTTCATCTTTTGAGCCGTATATTTACTGTGAGCTCTCAATGTAAGACCAACAGCTTCTACATCCCTTTTTTTTTTCATATATATATATATATATATAAAAGAATTCGAACAAACAGACCAGGAATTAAAAAAAAGTAAAAAGTGAGAAGGATTTGTTATTTTCTATGTGTTTCTCCCTTTTGTGTTTCTAAGAATTTCATTCTATGAAAATATCCTTACACCTTCACTTATTTGACATGCTATGCTTTTAATGGTAAAATTTCAGTATCCTGAGGGGCATGTTTCAAAGAGCATATATGCCACTTTCAGATTAGCCAGC